TTTCAAATTAGTAGTTGAATTTGATTTTTTTTTTCAAATCGAATCTTACGATTTTTAAGTGTAAACTACACGTTTAATACCTAAATTATCAGTTTTAATTCGTTTTAGTACCTAAACTTTTAATTTTTCAAAACCATGCCTAATCTTTAATTTTTGTTTCATTTTAGTACTCTGCCTTAAAATTTTAACACGTTTAGTACCTAAACTAGCAGTTTTGGTCCGTTTTAATATCTAAACTTTCATTTTTTCAAAACTTTATATTAAGTTTTTAATGGGGGTACTAAAATGAAACAAAACTAAATGTTAGGTATGGTTTTTAAAAAATTAAAAGCTTATGTACTAAAACGGATCAAAACTGATAGTTTAGGTATTAAACGTATAATTTACTTGATTTCATATGAAAAAATTGAAATAAAATCCATGACAAATGGACCAAGTAATTGTAGTGTTACGATTAGAGATGAGGTGAAAAAATTTGAAACCGATGTATTTTGATTTGATTCAGTTTATAAAATCGATATTTTTAAGATTATAACGTTTTAAAAAAAAAAAAGAGATTGAGGACGAAGCCAGTTTTAAAATGTATACACACTAATTAGTTAGAATATAATTATAAAAATACTATTATTATTTAGAATATTATAAAACTATCATTATATAATTATAAATAATACAGCCTCACTGTATTCATCTTTAATAATGTAGGAAGTAAAAAAGAAAAAAGAAAAATGGTTTGGCTATGAGCCTATGTAAATTCAGCATGGACTATGAGCCTATATAAATCCAGCCTGTGAATGAGCCTATAGAAAGAAAGGTTTATATATGCCCATGGCTCAATTTTTTTTTCGGGTGAAATTGAAATATAGTTTTAATACAAGTTAAAATACAAAATTAACACTATTTTAATTTGTAATTTTATAAAAGTTAAATTATATATTTTTTATTTTAAGAGGTCAAGACATATTTTTACCATATATAATTTTACCATAAACACACCCCTGAATAATACATGTAAAACGCTTTCTATTTTTCTTTTATTAAGTTAGGGTGATTACAAGGTAGTATATGTTCTAAAGATTTACAATCATTTAACAATGAAAACTCAAATACCTTTGTAGTTACTAATACTCGAATCTAAGACCTCTAAGTATAACAACCATCCCTTTAGTTAATGATATAATTTGGTAGAAAAGCTTTCTAGTTTGTATAGCCATTGATACCATTTTATTATAATATAAAAAATAGTCGACCATTGATGCCTAAATGTTACACTTTCCTACTATGTTTCAAGCACTACAAAACAAACACGTAGTTAATGTGTTTGCACAACTCAAGCAAATCATGTCTTCTATAATATATATATATATATATATATATATATATATATATATATATATTAGAATTTAATTACATCGACTGTAAAATTAAGAGTTTTACATTTATTTTAGGACCGTTATATATATATATAAGGTTAAGATTCATTTACACCCAATGTTAAATTTTTAATTTTACACCTTTTTATGATCGTTGGATAAGTGGAAATCAAAAGCCAAAATTAACTAGTGTTATATATATATATATAATTTCCTAGTGTTAATCTCATACTTTGCTTTCTCTTGTCCAACGACTCTAAAAACGTATAAAACTAATGTAATTAGATCATGCTCATATACACTAACTATACATAATTATATACGCATTATCATAAAATTTTATAATTAAACTTATATGAATTCTTTTCAATGGTAAAATATATTTAGCTTATTATAATACATAAATTTATATATTACCAATTCTTTAAATATTCACATAAATTTAATTATATATATGATTTAAGAAGTAATACATCTAAGTTGTGACCCATGAACTTGATTTCTCAATGTTGTAGTTGTCTGAATCCAACATACTCTAATATATGTTATTCTAATTGGTATTTGTCAACCAACCGACCGACAACCTAACATCACCTAGTTCTATATTTAACGCCTTTCTCTCTTCTTCCCCGAAAACTATCTTCGTATCATTTAAATCACCTATCAGTCCTTTGTAAAGTTTAAGAAACCATGTAAAGAACGTTAAAGCTTGCTTTGTATCTCTGTCTTTTCACGTGTTCGATTCCAACATCCCATGCACATACTTGTGCCAAATACACCTTCTCCAACAACCGTGTCTTCAAGTCATGCTCCGATCTTCCTGTCTTGAATTATTTTCTTCATTACCACTACGATAACATTTCGGGGAAGCTGGAGATTGCCTATAGGCACACTGGGATCACTTCCCCTACGTGGGTTGCATGGGCCATAAATCCGAATTCCAAAGGCATGGTCGGGTCACAAGCACTCGTTGCCTATCGAATGAGTGATGGAAGTATGAGAGTTTATACATCTCCTATCGCACAATACCAGACTCAGCTGCATGACGGTGAGCTTAGTCTCGATGTCTCAGACTTATCGGCTGCATATGGGGACAATGAGATTATCATATTTGCTACTTTGGGGATTTCTGATAATTGGACTACTTTGAATCACGTTTGGCAAGGAGGTGCCATGTCTGGGAATACACCACAGATGCATGCTGCTTCTGGTGCTAATATTCAGTCCATGGGGACCTTGAATTTAGTTTCCGGTGAGGATGGAACAATCGGAGGGGGAAGCTCCATACAAAGAAAGCAAGAGGTAAACAATTAATATTGTATGAATCAGGTCATTCTATCAGTATAACCACTGATTTAAATATCAATGTTACTTGGAATCCGACTTTGAACAACATTTAAAACATTATCAGTACAGTAGGTTCGCATGTATTTAAAATTTGATTCACCTATTTTAAATATGATTCAAAGTCAAATTGAAGCTAACATTTAATGATTAAGATAGCAGGATATTATTTATATGATATTTATATTTTAAGGACTTAACTAAAATACTTTAAAGTATGGAGATCAAATAAACCCTACTTATAACATTAGAAAATTGCTAAAGAAGTAAAATGGTAAATTGTTTTATCTGGAAATAAACTTTAATCAACTTGAAGTTACTTACAGATTGCATGCAACGAAATTTTCAGATACATGGGGTGCTAAACGCAGTAAGTTGGGCTATATTGATTCCACTAGGAGCCATGATAGCAAGGTACTTGAAGGTATTCAAATCTGCTGATCCTGCATGGTTTTATCTGCACGCTTCATGTCAGTTCTCGGCCTATGTCATCGGCGTTGCCGGATGGGGTACCGGTCTAAAACTAGGCAGTGAATCTCCTGGTATTCAATACAACGCTCATAGAACCATTGGGATCATCCTTTTCTGTCTTGGAACACTTCAGGTATCCAAAACACACACAAAAAGCAATGCCAAAGACAATCTATTCTTCTAGTATATATCTTATATTGGTTATGGGTTAATTGCACTAACCGTTCTCAAAATATCATTCATATTCTAAATTAGTTCATAAAGTTTCAGATGTTTTTAGAATTGTATCTATCAAATCCTTCCATTAGCTTGTCAGCATAAGTGGTGCCAATAACCCCTTTTGGTAAATGTAGTATATTGGCACTGATAAGAGTTTTGATTTGGATTTAGGTATTTGCTTTGCTTCTAAGGCCAAAATCAGATCACAAATACAGATTCTACTGGAACATATATCACCATTTGGTGGGATATACTGTCATAATCCTTTCAAGGGATTCGACATCCTGGAACCTGAGAAGAAGTGGAAGAATGCTTACATTGGTCTCGTCGTTGCTTTGGCCTGCAATGCTGTAATGTTGGAAGTCTACACATGGTTTTTCCTACAGAGGAAAAGGTCAGAAGGTGAAGAAAAGACACCGTATGGTATTGATGGGGTTAACGGCCATGGTGCTAAGCCATAGCAGACATCGAAACATTCTGGCCTTCTTTTTCATAGCCCATAAGTAGTTCTAGGAAACTATGGACGGGCATCCTGTTCTAGCAACAACTAGTACGCATTACTATCATATTTCAATATGTATCAATCAGAATTTTCCGTCAGTATAACGGTTAGATTTAGCATGAAATAATAGCTCGAATCTAACGTAAAGCATATTCAAAGCATGTAGATCAATGTTGTACTATTTTGTTGAGATTTTCAACTATTAAAATTGATAAAATGATCACCCAACTATTCATATATTACAAAGTACAAATTCATATTTTTATATGTTAAAAAATTGGATGTAAACATATTGACTGAGATATGATAAAATCATATTTTAATAATGTCTATTGACACTTTCGTTGCTTTTAAGTATTGGTTCAATGGAATAATGTTTCAAGCACTTGCTCAATGACATAATGTAAACGGAGAGTTGATCAACAAAATACAACTCAAACGATTCTGAGATCGTCTGAGTTGAACATTAAGGTGTTGAGTAAAATATAAGTTGTATTTTGTAGATCAACTATCCGTTTACATTATATATTAAGCAATTGCTTGAAACATTATTCCATTAAGTCAATACTAAAAAAACAACGAAAGTGTCGATAGACATCATTAAAATATAATTTTATTATATCTCAATCATTAAGTTAATATCTAACTCAGACGATCACCAATTTTTTAACAAAAAAAAAGAGAGTTTGTAATATAAAAATAGTTGGATGATTATTTTATAAATTTTAATAGTGAAAAGACCTAACAAAATAGCATCCTATAGTCTAAAGATAATTCTATAACTTTTAATGATAAGAAGATTTAACAAAATATTATTATATAATCGGCCCTGTAAAAATACTACACGACCCCTGAGTAGAAAATGAGTGTTTAGTCATTGGACATTTGGACTTGATGTTCGGTTCGGTTCGGTCAAATAAATTTTCTTTGCAAGAAACCGAAACGTACAATTCGGTGGATTTTTCTTTTCGCCTTTTATTTTCCGTTTTACTTTTTATATATAATTTTTGTAGGTTATCTTCTTGTTTGTACATAAAAGAAATGAAAAGAACAACGGCAAACTCAATTTCTTAATCCAAAAAACACACACACAAATGTAAATTACTCTAGTTTTTATTCTCCAATCAGTTAAGTAAACATCAAAGTTCGACATAAAACAACACGATGAACATACATAAACACATATTATTATAATTACAATCAAATTTAACCCTTGACGAGATTAAAGGAGGTAAGACTCCTGTAATTCTGCCACTCCTTCTCCCACACGACGGCCTGATACGTCTTCACGGCCGTTCCATTCTTCGCCTTCAAAACCAGCCGGTAATTCATGCCTGAAACCACCTGACTCTCGCCTTTCACCACCTTCACCAATTCCAAACTCGCCTTCGACTGCTTGTTGTACTCGCTGACGGCGAACTTTGCGATTTCCGTCACGTGCGGATCCGTGATGTTCTCGATCGGCGACCAACCTCCGGGGAGATTCGACTCTCTGGCGTCGGAGAAAATGAGAGGAAGAAAGACGAGGGAAAGCAAGAAGATGGAGGAACTTGACTTCCGCTGCATTGCGTGAATTTTGGGGGATTTTCTTTTCCTAGTTTGATTTTAGGTTTTGGGAATCTATTTATAGATCTGGGGAATGTGAAACGTAGCAGGCGGGTTTAAGACTTGAAATGGATGGAAATAATGGTGTTGCCGCGTGGCTTGGGCTATTCAGAAACGCAGCGAAGCTCAAAAGTGGAACTCAGCAACACGAATTCAGCGGAGCCGTTGGATTATGATCTGTTGGTGTGAACTGCAATTTGTGTGTATTTTAAGTGGATCGATTTCCCGGAATTGCAGTAAATGTAGGCTTAAAACAGAAACAAATGGCCAAACTCTATCTTTTTATTTATTTATTTTAGAGGATCTAATATTTCAATTTGTCGTCGTTTTATAAGTTAAATAGTCAACTTCTATAAACGACTATGTCATCCAACGAATACATGATATGTAGGGTAACACTTTTATCCAATGTAGTTATAAATCGAATTAAATATGTCACATTGATTGATCGACACTTTATTTAGAGCATAATTAAATTAGACTGACAAATATTCATCCGATCAAAATTCGACCATACACACCAAAAAGGACTTGTCATGAATAAAAATTATAGAGATAATTTAATACTTAGTAAGTATTCTATAAACTATTAAAAACACAACTATCAAATTTATATAGCGTTACTTTTCTCCGAGGAATTAGGAATTCTTTCTAGGATAGCATATGGAATGACCAAGTTGATAAAGGCGGAATTAAGGGCAGAACTAAGAATTTATTATAGTGGAGATTAAAATATATTTTATTTTTTATAAATACAAATTTTTTTAATTGAGAGGAGCATGATAAATTTCTTTATTTAAATTAAAATATATCTATATATATATATTTAATATTAATTAATAATTTAAAAAAATTGACCTACAGTTGAGGAGATTTTGATGAGTAAAGAGGGCTGCAGTTGGGAAGTTAGATTAGGCTTACGTTTTCCTTTAGTTATCGGGGAAAAAAGTTTTATCCCTTCTGTGTATGAATCGATTTAATTTTATAATGAAATTTAAAAAAATTACAATACATATGAAATTATGCAATCATGAATTATATATATATATATATATTCATCGTATCAACTTCTGTCGATTAATCCAAAAAATAAATAAATTTATAATGATTCAAACTATTTAATCTCTAATTTCAACATGAAATGGCTCAATTCTAAAAGTTAAACGTATATATGATTTGAACGTCAAACGATTTAAATTTAAAAATGATTTAATTTATTTAAAAAGTAAATTATTCCAAATTATACCCATCCAAGCACGTGAACTCTGCTAATCATGCTGGCTGTTGCCCACTAAGAACCCAATAGAAGGAGAAAAGTGAGAGCAGCAGGCAGAGGGGGCCGGGCCAAATAAATATGAAATGATGGAATTAAATAAATAAAATAAGTAAAAATTATCGACCCTTTCACAAAAATCTATAATAACATATAAATAAACATTTCCTATATAACATTAAAAAACAAGTGAAATACATACACAGCAAAATGAGAGAGCAAAGGGAATTCTCCCCTACAGCTCTTGTGACCACTAATCACTTTGTTGCAACACTCGAAGTGTTGCAACATATCGAACGGAGCTTTCGCTCCAATAATTTCAATAAGTGATTGAAATTTTATGTTGATAATTCGAGTTTTGTGTTAAAATATATCGAATATTGAAACACAATGTATCGAACTTTCAATGGCAGCAGCTATTGAACTCCTTGGTTTGTTCCGAAAACAAAAGCTCCTGCACCATCAAAACAATCGACTAATTAGTAAGTGGTACTAATTCATCAATTAAGGGGTTAACAGAATTGAATAATGAAGAATCAGTGTACCAAGTGTAGGCATTAATATCGACAAAATCACGACGCCGGCGATCTTTAGCGGTATCCCCGTCTTCACCATATTAGGAATATCTATATGCCCCGTCATGAATCCGACGACGTTCGAAGGAGTTGCGGTCGGAAGCATGAAAGCGAGTTGTGATCCGATCGCGCCGGGAACCATAAGGAGCAATGGGTGGACGTGCATAGTTTTGGCCATTTGAATCAAGAGTGGAAGCACGAGGGTCGCGGTAGCATCGTTCGATGTTATGAACTCGGTGATTATGGCACTAACCAAACAAACCACAGGGGCGATGGCTAAATACGGAACCGCTTCGAGAAACTCTAGACTCCCCGATAAGACATTGGCGAGTCCGCTCGACTGGACGCCATCGGCGATTGCGAAACCGGCCCCTAGTAACAAAATAATGCCCCACGGCAGCTTCTTGCATTCGTTCCAGTCCATCAATGTCTCTCCCTTCTGCTTCTTGTTTGGAATTACGAACAAAAGTGTAGCCATGAGAACCTACATGATATCATAATTGATCACAACCAAATTATATACCAAAGTGCAAGGGCTAAATCCTTGAAATAAATAGGACAGGGACTGAACCATAACTAAACCCAAAGTTTATATTACTCACACTGACAGTTCCATCGCCTGCACGGCCATGGAAGAGAGCTCCCCAGCCTGGAATGTCTTCTGTTATGCTTCTGGTCATCCACAAAGCTACCATCATCTGTAATTAAGTCATTAAATTATTAACATGACAATCAATGATTAGAGAAAATAAATTATTTCCAGATTAGAATTTCGGGTTTAAGATTTTAGACGATAGGATTTAACATTAAAATAGATAAGATTATGTATTCGATATATGTATAGAATAATTTCCATAAATACTAACCCCAAATACTGCTAAAACCATCTTCTCGGCAAAAGCCATCGGACCTAACAAGTCCAGTTCTCGCTTCAGATGCGCTTTATCCAAGTAGGGAGCGAGCGCCTGGCTCGATCCCCGGCGTAAATACAGCGAGCAGAGAATTGCCCACAAGGCGAAGAAAATCAACACTGCCAATGGAAAACCGAAGAAGAACCATGTGTTGAAACTGATGGAATCGGCTTCCGGCGAGGAGCCTTTATACATGGCCGCCAATATCAAAGTGACGCCGGTTCCAGTGAGGGTGCTCATCCCGCCGATGGGTGCGGCGTACGTGACCCCGAGGATGACAGCCCGACAGAAGTTGCGGACATGAGTTGATTGGATGGAACCCGTCGGGAGACGATGTAGGATGCCGGCGGCCACCGGCATCATCATGACGGCGCTCGCCACGTTGTGCATCCACATGCTGACAAAGAACGTGGTGGCGCAGATGCCGAGTAGGAGCAGAGGTGGATTCACCGGTTCCCCGCAGAATCGTGATGTGATCTATGTGACCCACGCAGAGCCATTAGTTGTTGTTATATTCAATGGTTCGAATTTAAAATGATTTGAATATAAAATTTAATGGAATCAAAATATTTTTACAAAAATAAAAACTCACATTTAAGGCCAATCTTCTATGAATATTGTAACGTTCAACAGCAAGAACAAGTATGAAACTACCCAGAACAAGGGTAATCACATCGTCCATATAAGAATGTGCAACAGTATCTGCAGAAGATATTCCGAAGAGAGGAAACAAGAACAGAGGTGCTATGGAGGTAATCGGCATCGGCACGGCCTCGGTGAGCCACCACGAAAACACCCAGGCTAGAACCCCCAACATGTTCCTGCTAGTCACTGGGCCATCGAACTTGACAAAAAGAAAGACGATAGCACACAATATGGGGCCTAATAGGACATACAAAGTTTTGAGTGTCACTAAGGATTGGAGAGAAAAGGTTGAGCTTGACGACGGTTCGTCCCGATCGTCAATGGGGAGAAGTGGGGTTTTCGGATCATCGGTGGACATTTTTCCGGCGAGGAGGATATGAATTTAAGAGAGGTGGAATATGGAGGCTTGGACGAGCCTTGCATATATATATCTGAAACTTGGGAGGAGGGTAGTTGTAGACAAATTTGCGTTTTCTTCTCGTTAATTTTTGGCATGTTGCTATTAACTGCTGACTAGTATGATTAGTATTAGTATATTTTATATATTAACAAACATATTTTCTCTTCTTCATCTTTGTTTGATATACGACGATAATAGTTTTGGTATTATCATTACATCAGTAATTTTTATTTTCAATATACTTTCTTATATCACATATTTTTTTTTAATTTTTAATAATTCTATATTTATGACATATTTTTCTTTATCTTTTGGTACGTTTTCGATCAGATAATTCCTTCCATTTATCTTCTTTTTAGGGTTAAATTTCACATCGCCACCAAGATGACGTTTATTTGTTATCATGTTGATCTTCCCTGTTCTTGACCCTCGGATTAGATTTGGATACACAATTTACGTTCGAAGATAGTTTTCTCACATCACTCGACGATGATTTGTGATTTGTCGGTGGTCTTTCAACAACTTGATCCCCTTTTATGATTCGTTTATAGATGTGATCAGATGTGTTCGTATTTATCTTTTGCATGAGATTTTTTGTTAGGTTTCTAACATTTTTCTTGTATAGTTCTTTTGTGATCGTGTAGTTTATGGTGTCAATGATTATCGAAAAATATCATAATTTTGTGTTTAGTTTAAGGTTATTGTGTAAACAATTGAGCATCCATTGACGCCATACTTCTATAATATATCACTAGAACCCGATGATCATATGAATCTTAATTATATCTCGAAATAATAAGAAATTTACATGTATAATCCTATTCAAATTTAAATATATTTTAATTATAAGTCTAATTATATATTATAATGAAATTATTATAATAATTGATTTTGATATTAATAATTGTACTTGTAATTATAATTAAAGTTTGTTTTCAAAACTCAAAACAAACAATTGGGCAGCAGCTTCCAACTTGTTGAATTCCTTTTTAGTGATTACAATAATTCAGGACGGTTTGATTAGCACAATAGCATGATGTTGTCTTGCCGTTACTAATTTTGAGGAATTAGTTTTTGTTGACATATGTTGATGTCTGATTGGGGCTTGAGAATTGAAAAGTGTCCAATTTTAATGTTCAGCACATGCTCCAATGTCCAAGCTAATGGGAAAGAGGAGGCTAATTT